CCCTAATAAAATGTTTAAAAAAATAAAAAAGTAGGGCAGAGAGACCAAAGAAGATTCCGTGTACTTGAACTATGGTGCTAGCAAAAAATATTGAGCGTACCATGGACTGCCAAAAGAACCAGCAGGTCTGTCTTGGAAGAAGTACGGCCAGAGGGCTCCTCAGAGGCAAAGGATGGAGAGGCTGCGTCTCACGTGCTTTGGGCATGCTATCAGGAGAGTCATAAGGACCAGGGCGTCGTGCTTGGTCTCAGCGGAGAGGAAGGCTCCGTGGGACAGATGGACAGAGCGGCTGCCACCATGGGCTCCAGCAGAGACACCCTTGTGAGGACGGCGCGGGACAGGGCGGTGTTTCGTTCCAATGTACCGAGGGGGGTCAGAACCCACTAGACAGCAGCTAACACCAGCAGACATGAAAGGAGATAAGGAGGCGCTGTGAAAAAGGGTACGTGCGCCAGGACTAGGTTTGACAAGTTGTATCAAACAGACGACTCTCCTGGGAAGAAATGACCGAAAAGCCGACATGCGAAGAAATAGAAATACACGGATAGGAAAACACCAACAGACACTTGATCGGTTTATGTCTGTCCGTTAGGACATGGTGGTCCGTCGTTGGCGTTTTCACACAGCAAAACCCAACATCCCACAGAAAGACCAGGCTCACCAGTCAGAGACTGGCAGAACCCCCGGGAGGTGGCCCTTGGTCACCCTCCAGGACTGGAGCTGAACTCACCCCTGTGGCCCAATCGTCAGCCAAACAACTATTGTTGTTAGGTACCATCGAGTTGGTTCCGACCCATCGTGACCCATTGTGACAACAGAAGGAAACACTGCCCGGTGCTGCGCCAGCCTCAGAATGGTTCCTGCGCCCACGCCCAGTGATGCAGCCACGGTGTCCATCCATCTCCTCGAGGGCCGTCCAAACAGTAAGCAGGTCTATCTATGAGGGGACCAGTAACACCTAGAGAGAGACGCACTCCTTCGAGCCATCGACTACTGAGGATTTTTTTTTAATCGTTTTATTAGGGGTCATAGAACTCTTATGACAATCCATATGTACATCAATTGTGTAAAGCGCATTTGTACATTCATTGCCCTCATCATTCTCCAAACATTTGCTCTCCACTTAAGCCCCCGGCATCAGCTCCTCATTTTCCCCTCCCTCCGCGCTCCCCCCTCCCTCATGAGCCCTTGATAGTTTATAAATTGTTATTTTGTCATATCTTGCCCTGTCCGACGTCTCCCTTCACCCACTTGTCCGTCCCCCAGGGAGGAGGTCACATATAGTTCCTTGTCATCTGTTCCCTCTTGGGGATTTTTTTTTAAGGCAGTGTTTGCCCAGAAGGGCTAGCGAAGCGTGGGAGAGGTGACAGGGACCACAGGGAGGAGGTGGGATGCGGGTGGTCCACGGTGGGAGGGCAGTTAATGGGATGAAACAAAGAAAGCTGTCCCAACAGTTGAATGGGAAACGGACCTGCCCGTGGACGTCCCCCCTGTCCACCATAAAACCTCGGTTTTCGTCTTGGACAAAGTCTTCATAGCCTCACCCATAGCCCTGCCTCAGAACATTCTGCCTTAGGCAAGACATTCTTTCCAAGGCTTCAAAGAAACCCCAAACCAAACCCACGGCCACCGAGTCCACGCTGACTCTCCAATGACCCTACTGAGCGGTGGAGCGGAGCCCCTGGGGGTGGCTGAGGCTGCCACTCTCTATGGGCAGAGCCTCCTTCTGTTGGGGATCGGGTCGCGTGGGGCCGGAACCGACTGGCCGGCAGCTCACCACAGCCACATGCGCGGGGCGTACAACTTGATGGAAAAGGGGGACCCGACCCTCCCATCTGGGAACAGCCTCCACAGTCAGGGCCAGTCCTCAGCCCCGGCCGGCATCTGTCTATTGTCTGTCTCCCCCCAAAAGAAGTGGGGGTGCTTGTCCAGTGGGTCCTCGTGGGGCCCCTCCAAACCGAAAACCGAACCTCTCTGCCCTAGGGTCGACCCCGCCTCATGGCGACCCTCTAGGACATTACGGGAGCAGAAGGTCCGGAACTGCTGGTGGTTTTGAACTACTGACCTTGCGGTTAATAGCCCAATGCTTAACCACTACATCATCAGGGCTCCTGTCGGCCAGGTCCCTAGAATCAATGAAAATAGCCCACTGTTGTCTAGTCAATTCTAACCCACCGCGCCCCTCTAGGAAAGGGTACTCCTGAGGGTTTCCGGGGCTGTCCGTCTATACAGGAGCAAAGAGCCCCGTCTTCCTCCGGGAGTGGGTGCAAACTGCTGGCCTTGCATTTAGCAGCAGAATGATTAACCACTGCACCACAGGATCTCCCCCTATCTTACCCAACCCACTGCCCTTGAGTGGACTCGGTACAACAGAGTTTCTGAGACTGCACATCTTAATGGGAGCAGAGGGCAGCCTCATCTTTCTCCTGAGGAGCGGCTGGGGGATTGGAACCGATGACCTTGTGGTGAGCAGACTGATATTTCAGCTCCCTGCATTTCCAGAGTTCTTTTTTCTGCCCCTCTGGGCGATGCCTGTGTTTCTAGACTCCACAGGGAGTGGCGCCCACCCCCACCCCCATTCACAGTCGATGCAGGACAAGCAGGTGAGAACTCCCCTGAGTCCAGTACGCAGGGCCACGCCTGGCCAGCCACGTGAGTGCTGAGGGCCTGCCTCCAGGATGCAGCCAAGAGGCCCCCTGAGTCTGGGTGTTCCCCGAGAGGAGAGGGCTGTCCTGCCCCAGGCACGTGTGTCCACAGGAACTCCCAGAGGGAAGGAAGCAGGTCGTTCCTGGCAAGTTGGCATGGGGCACAGAGGGCCCAGGTGGGGCTGGGTGTGGAAGGAGGCCTGGGGCTGAGAGTGCAGGGGCTGGGGCCACTCCGGAAACCCTCTCTGAGCTGGCCCCAGAGCACACCCTTTGGCCCGAGAAGCCAATCCTGAGGTGGCCCATTCTACAGGTAGAGAAACTGAGGATCCTGGGCACAGCCATTTGCCCTACCCCCGCCCCCATACACACACACACACACACTCTGCCCTGGGGGTGTGCCAGGAGCAGCTGCCCAGACCTGGCCTTCACCCTCGTGGCAGCTAGCCTTCACCCCCTGAATGGGACCCCCGACAGGCCCTCCATGTACCCCCTTAGCCTTGACAGGCTGCAAGGGCAGCCTGGGGAGGGCAGGCTCTGGGATGGCCATAACCATCCAGGGGTGGAGTCGAGAGGATGCTGCCCCCCCTGGGAGACCCTCACTTCTCCAGGACCTGGGAATCATTGAGTGGGGTGGGGGTGGGGGGCGGTGTCTCTGAGAAGCCCCAGTGGGCAAACTGCCTCGCATTGGCCAACCCACTCAGGGAAGGGACAGGCCACTGGGGGCAAGCAGGAACCCTCCCCCACAAGCTGGGTGCTGATGCTGACAGGACGGGGGTGGGGGGAGTGGACTAGCCAGTGAGGGGGCCCCTCAGGGGAGAGGCGGGGTGAGGAAGGTTGGTGACCACCCCTGGACCCAAGGCAGCAGCTGGTCCAGCTTCAGGCTCCTTCCACATCCCCGGCCCTGCTTCAGCTCCTTCAAACAAGAACCGGAAGCTGCTGTTGGACAAGAAAATTCGGGG